TTCTTGACGAAGGTGAAAGAGGAGAGTGAAAAAGCTGGCTTAAAACTCAATATTCAGAAAATGAAGATCATGGCATCCAGTCCCATCAATTCATGGCAAATAGATGGGGAAACAATGGAAACAGTGACAGACTTTATTTTGGGGGCTCCAAAATCGCTGCAAATGGTGACTGTTGCCATGAAATTAAAAGACATTTGCTCCTTGGAAGAAAAGCTATGACCAACCTAGACAGCATATTAAAAAGCAGAGACATCATTTTGCCAACAAAGGTCCATAATAGTGAAAACTATAGTTTTGCCAGTAATCATGTACAGATGTGAGAGTTGGACCATAGAGAAGGCAAAGCACTGAAGAACTGATGCTTTTGAACTATGACACTGGAGAAGACTCCTGAGAGTCCCTTGGACTGCAAGGAGATCAAACTAGTCAATCTTAGGGAAATCAACCCTGAATAGTCATTGGAAGGAATGATGCTGAAGCTGAAGCTCCAATACTTTTGGCCACCGGATGCCAGGAACCGACTCATTAAAAGAGACCTCGATGCTGGGAAAGATTGAAGGCAGGAGGAGAAGGGGATAACAAAGGACGAGATGGTTGGATGGTGTCACTGACTCAATGGACATGAGTTTGAGCAAGCTCTAGGAGATGGTGAAGGACAGGGAAGCCTGGCGTGCTGCAGTCCATGGGGTTGTGAAGAGTCAGACACGACTGAGCGACTGAACAACAACAAACTTGAGAATTCTACTTGCCAGCAGCCAAGGTGTGGATGTGTGTTGGTGGTGAAGCATCTGATACAAGGGGCATCTGGTTCTTCTGGAGCAAGGGCATTGGTCTCCCTGGGTCTCCAGCAGGCTTCCTGTTCCCTCAACCCAGCTTCCCTTTGATTATTTAAGAGCTATTTGTCAAGGGCATACCATGTAAGGCACCTTCATAGATGCAGAGGGAGAAACCATAAGAGCTTATAACCTAGAAGGTACGAAAAGACATCTAATCACAAAAGTAACTACAGGTCCACATGAATAGGATTAATAGTCATAAATGGCATAGGGAACATGCTCCCATGAGGCCGTGGTCATGGACACTTCTGAATGGGAAAACCAGGGAGGAAGTGGCATTCAACCTGGTTGTAAAGGAGAGGTGGAATGTCTACAGGCATAAACGTGGGATTGCAGTAGGCAGGTATTCCTGAAAGAAGAAAAAGCATTAGCAAAGATGGCAGTGGGCACAGGCAGTCGCCAGCCCCATCTCCTGCTGTCTTAGGGTACTGGCAGAGGGGGAGTCCTGAAGCCAGGGTGCCGGGAGCTTTGACAAGTCTGAGAATTCCCTGATGGTGCAAAAATTATGTTTAGGGATGAATGTGCACTTTTCTGGAGAGAGGGCCCACAGCCCTCCTACAATTCTCTGAAGGCTCTAGAGTTGAGAAAAGGTGTTATTTCACAGGTGGTTCTGAGGCATCTAAAGAAATCAGTCCTGAATATTCACTGGAAGGACTGATGCTGAAACTGAAGCTCCAATACTTTGGCCACCTGATGGGAAGAACCGACCTATTGGAAAAGACCCTGATGCTGGGAAAGATTGAAGGCAGGAGGAGAAGGGGACGTCAGAGGATGAGATGGTTGAATGCCATCACCGACTCGATGGACATGAGTTTGAGTAAACTCCGGAAGCTGGTGATGGACAGGGAGGCCTGGCGTGCTGCAGTTCATGGGGTCTCAAAGATTCAGACACGAATGAGCGACTGAACTGAACTGAACTGAGGCATCTGTATGTTTGTTTTAAAAAAGAAACCTCCTTCAAGAACTGTGCAGTGCACCCCTCCGGTCTCGAGACAGGCCCAAGAAGGCCCTGAAATGGTAGCTCACACGGGCTTCCCTCCCTGTGCCCACCCTTGCCCCCCGACCCACCTCCATTCTACGAGTGATCACCATGCTCACCAGTCTCCACCGCCCTGAGATCAAATGGGAGGCAAGGTCAGAGCGCCAGACGGGAAAATCGGAGACTCACGCAGAGGCTCTGTGATCTTCTTCGGAGACGGGGTGGGCGGGAGCCACTCTGCATTGATGAAGCTGGAGCCGGCAATGTCGGCCTGCGGGGTCCCCTGCCCGGTGCGAACCCACCGCTGCGTTCTGGGCCGGTCCGAGGCGGCCGGCCGGGCTGCGGCAGCGCCCTCTGGCCGCGGGGCTGCAGTGCCGGCGGCGGCCGCTGGGCGGCGCGCGGCGGCGCGCGGAGCGTGGGAAGCGCGGGCGCGCGGGCGGGCCGGGCTCGCTCACGCCCGGGCAGCCGCAACCGCCGCCGGGCCCGAATGCGGAGCCGCTGCGCAGCTCGCGCCTGCCGCGGGGCGCGCGGGGCGCGGCGAGGCGGTCGTGCAGCCCCTGGCGGGGAGGGGGCGGCCGCTGGAGGTAAGAGCCGGGCCGCCGATCGGGTGGGAGCGGCGCGGCGGCCAGGCCTGCGGCCGGTCTCCGGGAGCCCCGGGCAAGGCTGGGGGGGCTCCCCTACCCGGCCCTGGGGGGGCGATGCTCCGGGCCCACCGCGATCGGGCCGCCCCCACGCCCGCTGCGGCGCCGGCCTCCCGCCGCAGCTGCCCTGGCCGCGTGGGTGGGAGCAGACTGGGGCCGGGTTCTGCCCCGGCCGGCACCCCCGCACCCCGGGCTCTTGGGGGGCCCGGGGCCAGCAGGGCGGGGGAGGAGGATGATCAGCCCCCACCCCCACCCCGGGGCCCGGCCCGGGAGCCCCTGCCCACTCCTCACCTTCCGCTTCTGGGCTCCGCAGTGGGCGTGGTGCCCCCCTCTGCTGCAGAGGGGGGGCGCCCCGGAGTTGAGGAAGGCCGTGGGGGAGGAGAGCGCAGAGACAGGTGGTTGAGGGGGCGAGCGATGGTGCGGGAAGGCTTGTGATCTTAATGCGTATTTCTTTCTCGCCCCTTCTTCGCGGTGGAGTAGGAGGGGCGGGGGGCGCGGAGGTGCGCGTGGAGGAGGAGGCGGGAAGGCCAGAGGCTTTAGGCTCAGGAGAGGCAGGCGCAGCCAGAGATGCCACTGGGCAAATGTCCCTGTTCAGTGCCCACCACCCCCCAAATTAATGAAGTGGGTGTGGCGGTGCAGGTAGGGGCGTTGGATGAAGGCCGGGCCCGGAACTGCCCGGAACTGGCCGCGGCCGGCGGCCGGGCTCCCCGCTGCGTGTCTGGGAGCCGCATGCACTGAGCGCTCTGCAGTGGCTGGGGGTGGGGGCGGCGGGTGGCCGTGCCCTCGTCCTCCTGGAAGCTTCAGCCCCGGGGACAGCTCCGGAGACGGGGGCTGGAGAAGGACGTGGGGGTGGGGCCGGTGTCCGGAGGGGAAAGGAGGTCTCCAGGCCTGCAGACTAAGTTCCTAGGTGGTGGGTGGGCCGGGAGATGGTGGGAGGTGGGAGCTAAGCAGGTAATGTCCTTAGGACCACCCACCCCCTTCCAGCTTTGTCTGTAGCCATAGACCAAAATTTGGGATTTGGCATTTGCCAAATGTGCTTAATTTTTTTTTTCTCTTTCCCTTTCGGTTTGTTTTGTTTTTTAGAGGAACGGCAAATGACAGAGCAGAGGGAAGGCTGGCCCAGCCAATCCCGGAGCCGCTGCAGCACCGGTTCCCCACACATTGCGGTGCAGGGACAGAGAGGAGGGGGCGGTCGGCCCCCGCGCCTTCCCTGCCCAGGGGCCCCCTCGCGCTCTCCGGGGAGAAGGGCAGCTGGACAGAAGCTGCCGGGGCCAGGGTGCGAGGGTACTGCTGCCCCTCCCTGCTGCCCGGCGTGGGAAGAGGAACGCGGAGCCAGGCAAGTCTCCCTCTGTGTCCTCTGGGGTGGAAGGAGCAGGTAGAAACAGGGCTGGGGCGGCCAGCGCCCGGCCTTGCTCTGGCATCGGCGGCCAGAGAGCTGTGCCTCCAACCCCTTGGGTTTGGTTCTGCTCTCGGCCCGTCCCTGGCACTTGACAGTTGCGGCGTCGACGTGCTGATTGGTGCCACCATGTTATATAACGCTTATATAATCTCCCGGGGCGAGCGCTGCGTCTCCGCTCTTGGGTCACACAGACGCTGTGTCCGTGTGGGAGTCCGCATCTGTGGAAGCTGGTGGGTGGACCGACACCCTCATCCTCACCCTGGCTCCCTCTGCTCATCCCGGCTGTAGGTGGGGACCCGGGAGAGCCCACTCCAGCTGTCTGGAGCTGACCCGGCCGGGTTGGCCGGTCCGCGTTCCTCCCGTTCTTGTCCCTTCCATGTCCCCCTTGCCCTGTGGATCTTCTGGTGGAGTGGGTCCCATTCTTGTGCCCTGAGGCCACTTTTTTGGGGTCCCTTGGCATGGCAGATGGGTATGGTGAGATGACCCCCCAGAATGTTGCAGTGGAAGAATATAAGGTACATAAGGTTGGATAAAGAGAGCGAGAAATTGAGGTTTTGAGCAAGAGTGACTAGAAGGATGGGATGATGGCGGCCTTCTAAGAAATTTGGAGCTGGCCTTGGAGCTAGAGGATGGTCAGGGAAGGGTGTACAGGGAAGGGGATCAGACAGCAAAGATAAACATGGTGTTCTTTTACTGTACTCTCCACTGGGCTGTCCCTGGTTACCAGGGCAACAGAAGCAGTGATGAAAATCATGCCTTTCGTTCAGTGGAAAAATCTGGCTCCTCCTCCCGCCTCTTCCTTCTCTAATCATGTGCAACCTATCGGAGGAGTGATGGCTCCAGGGATCAGAGACCCCAGCGCGTTCATATCAGGCCCCCTCCTTCCCCATTTTTGGTCATCTTTCCCCTTTCTGCGTTCCCCATCTCCCCCAGAGCTCAATAATTGGCAGTTGCGGAGGAGTTGGACTGGATGGAGGGGGAAGGGCATGGACGTCATTGCAGGGCAGGGTGAGCAGAGCAGAGCGCGTGGGCAGTGATATGGATGCAGGAATGACTGGCACACGAGGAGGGTCAGGCATCAATTAGCTGGATGGAGCTCGTGCCTGGGATGGTAGGAGCTGGGGGGCGGGAGGGTGGGGGCAACGATGGAAGGCCTGGAGAGCGTGGTGGTCTGGGTGCACAGTGGTGGTAGGAAATGGGAAGGCCCTGAGGTTTCTGGTGTGGCCGTGGCTCCCAAGGAAAGCTCGAACTCATTCATTCAGCGCTTTTTAGGGTGCCTCCCATGTGAGGTAAGGTTCTGGGAACTGGGAAGACACAGGTCAGTAGGACTGGACTTTGACCTTGAAGAGATCATGGTAGGTGAGAGTGGGATACGTCTATGGGGGAAGACCAGCTGGCATGGTTACAAGCCTAGACTCTGGGGCTCCAGGCAGGAGACTGGCAATATTCCAGACGGGAAGTGATAGATTAAGGTGGAGCCTGTGAGAATGTGAGGAAGAGGTAGTTCGCAGAGCCCTCTTGACTTGGGGACAGGACACGGGCAAGAGAAGGTGCTGATATTTTGAGCTTTCGTGATTGACAGAAGTAGCAAAATCAAGGTTCCAACTTGCTTGGGAGAGTCATGTTTGATTTGCCTTTGGACATACTACCCAAGACAACGGCAGGGTGTCTGAGTAGAAATATTTATGGTCAGGCAAAGAGAATTTGTGATGAAAATCTGTCCTGGGAAGAGATTTGGAGGAAACCGTATTATTACGAAGCTTTGAAGGTGTGAGGTTGCTGAGGAGGTGTGGAGAGAGAGATCCCAGAGCCTAGGACATGGGCCTCGGGCTGGGTGAGGCTCTGAGCCTGGTACTTGTTTATTACCAGGGCCCGCCCAGACTGCTGGACCAGATTTCTGCTAATGAACGCCCACGTCTCCTACCAAACCACACCCCTTTTTGAAGTTCAGGTTTCTGTTTGAGTTTTCTTTTCTCTGGTAACTATGTCCAGGAGGATATGTCCTGGAAAGATAGATGCGCACACTTACCTAACCAAGGTCTCTCCTTGACCTTAGCTCTACCGTTCGCTTGTAAATTCCTGAGAGGCCCTGGCCTGTGCTACAGAGAAGCACCATATGCCTTCAGCCTCCACCAGCAAGGCTGTTCTTTCTGGCTCCTTTCCAGTCACCACTGCAGGAATAAGCGCGCTCGACAGAGGCCTTTGCCAGCACCATGATCGCGAACACTTCACTTCCTTTTCCAGGCTAAGGCCTAGCCTAAGCATCTAGTTTCTTCTAGCTCTGAAGCCTTCAGATAGGACGTCCAGTTTTTTCCCTGCGTTTGCCCAGGTTTCTGTTGAAGATCAGGCATTTGAAACCAGCAGCCCAGGTTTCTTGGTGCCTTGTGGGAGGGGGTGTGGGAGAAATGGAGCCCTGGCCCCTAGAGCAGGCCCCTGTCTCCAGAGTGGGTGGGAGCCTTGCAAGTAGCGGGTGGCCCCTGTTCTTCTTGGGAGCGTGGAAATACTAGAAAGGTAGTTTTTCCCCAGCGACCAGGAGTGGGCCAACTATGGCCTGTGGGCTGATGCCTGCTTTTGTAAATAAAGTTTTATTGGCACACAGGCCCACCGTTTATGTCTATGGCTGTTTTCACGCCGTGTTGGTACAGCTGAGTTGTCACAACAGAGACGTATGACCTGCAAGCCTGAAGTCTTTACTGTCTGGACTTGCAAGAAAAAAAAGTGTTCACGCCTGTCCTAGAACACCAGAAAAGTGCTTGAGTCACCACTGAGGGTGCTTACAATGGCCAGATTCCTGGGGTTCTTGAGGATTATGCTTGGGCCTTCCTTGGTGATCCCGTGAGAGGATGAGGCAGCAGTGGTAGGTTCTTAGATTCAGCCCCAAGATCGTGCTCCTGGGTCTGGGAATCCCCTTCGGTTTGCACCCTTTTTCCTGAAGCCTTTCTGCCCGCAGCCCCCCGACTCCTACACATACCCTTCTTTGAGCACAGAGGCCCGAAGTCCTTGTCAGGGATGGCTTGGGGCCCTGGCGTGACAAGCTACCTCCCCCCTCATTTCTCAGGCCCCTGCAGAGGAGAGGGGACCAACGGGTGTCTGGTGAGGAGGAGGAGAGGCTCGTTGGTTCTGACAAGCCCCGCAGCGTGGTTCTCCTGCTAGCTTTGCCTTGCCGCTTCTCGCCTCCCTGTGCCCTTTAGTCCGGAGGCCCTGGAGATGCATCTGCAGAGAGGGTCTGCAGCCCAGCGGGGTCTGTCTGCCGGAGCCTGGCCCCGCCGCCTGGGGTTGGTGGGGTATGTGCCTAGGTGGCTGGAGGCCGGAATCCCAGTGCTCGGGATTCTTGCAGCCGACCGTATCGGGTCCTCTCGGGTCCCACTTTCTACCTTTTTTTGACTCGGTCCTCCAACTGGAGTCTCAGGGGAACTCCTGGCGAGGAACAGGATGAATTTCAAATTCTCCCTTTTACGAAACAGCAGCAGCAGGGCGGTCAGGTCGCTTCTTCTCAGGGCTGAGGTAGGAAGTGAGACACTTTGGTGGCGAGAGGAAACAGTGTGTGCAGAGCCTGCAGGAGGGGCGCAAGCGGGTGGTGACTGAGGTTTATTCCCGTTGCAGCTGGAAGGGAGGAGGCTGGCCAGGGGAGGCGGGAGCCGACGACCCAGAATAGCAAAGAAGACAGAAGCTAAGCACACCCAGAGCTGCTTTTAGCCGGCAATGGTAAGCCCGGCTCTAGAGGTCTTACTTCTCACCTCTTCTACACACATTTTCCCCAGAGGCCCCAGGGACGTTTTCTTCTCATTGAAGAAAAAAGAAAAAAGGTCTTCATCAAAAACCCTCTCTAAATACCTTTCAGTCCAGGGTGACCCCACACTACGCGGGTTTCCACGAATGTTCAGACAAGTGCACTGACTTGGAGGAGCGTTCAGTTCCTACAGATGTATTATGGATCGGTTCTGGGTTGGGCGTTGTGCAAAGCTTGGGGGGATACGGAGGTAACTGGAGGATTCACAGTGTAGTCTGGAAGGTATGTGGGCAGTTGAACCGATTTTAATAGGAGCCTGCCCGAGATCATTTGAAAAGACCCTGATGCTGGGAAAGATTGAAGGCGGGAGGAGAAGGGGATGACAGAGGATGAGATGGTTGGAGGGCATCACTGACTCAATGGACATGAGTTTGAGTAAACTCCGGGAGTTGGTGATGGACAGGGAGGCCTGGCGTGCTGCAGTCCCGGGGGTCGCAGAGAGTCGGACACGACTGAGCGACTGAGCTGAACTGCCCCAGATCATAAGCTCTAGGCGAGCACATTTGTGTCTGTCGCGTTCATTGCAGCGGCCTCACGTGGGGCACCGCGCGTGGCACTCGGCGGGTGTGCACATCCCTGAAACGGGCTGACCCATCCCTGTAGGCTCCCACGTCCCGGTAACAGACTCACCCAGCCCTGTTTGGTGTCTGTCCTGGAAAGCAGGAGGGGCCTGAGGAGGTAAGTGGAGCAATACAAGAGCTCACAGCAGCCCCTGTGGCAAACCTGGGCAAAGATGAACCCTTTAATAATAAACCGGATAGACTGGTTATGTGAGTGTCGTTAGGGAGAAAGGATGCAGACAGATTGACCCTGTGAGTGGGAGGGACCTTTGACCTTCGGACCGTGAGAAAGGAGGAGAGTGACCTGGGACAAAGAAGTGGGTCACCAGCCCCACGTGACCGGGTAAAGCCAGAGGGACTAAGGAAGGGAAAAAACTAGCCCTTGGCAGTGAAGGTAAGATGGAGTCAGGAGAGGAGAAACCAGAATGGGAGGGAGCCTGGAGGCATTGCAGGCCCAGGGTGGACGCGGAGCTGAGGCGGGTAAGTCCCAGGGGAAGATGCTGGCAATGGCTGTCTGCTCTTTACCGGCGGGCCTCCTCCAAAAGATGTGACCATGACCAGATACGACCTAGAATACCACGTTTCTCTGCACTGGGCAGGCACAAGGAAAGTAACTGCAGTTTGAGGTTATAGTTACTATGGAAGTTTTCATGTATCTGCAAAGGTAAAGAGTGCATAAGAGACTTCAGTCCTCCCATCACCCAGTTTTATCTTGTAATCAACACATGGCACTGTCTGTTTCTTTTGTACGTTCATCAACTGTATCCCTTATTCCCCTTTTGGATGATTTTACAGCAGATCCCAGATATCATACTTCATCCATAAATACTCCATGATGAATCTTTAAAAAAGTATTATTTTAAAAAACATAACCCCTGTAGTATCCACCCCTAGCAAAAGCACTGTCATTCTTAATGTCACCGATTATCCATTCACTTAACGTCTCCCTTGCTTGTCTCAAAGTTTTTTTTTTTTTTACACAGTTGGTATTTTGCTTGAATCAAGCTCCACACAAGGTCCCCATGTTTCATGTAGTTCATGATCGATTTGGCGTCTCTGTTAGGAAAGAGGATGCTCTTTCGGGAAAGCTCGATGCTGTGCAGTTCTGCCGTTCAAATTTACTTCGCTGCTCCGCCCCGACCTCCAGTCAGCTACCATTAACAGCTCTCCTGAGTTTTGTGAACCGTTTGGTGATTTTTGAGCATCCTTCATTATGCCTCTTGTCTTGGTGGTGTAACGTAACTAGTGATTTTTTCCTTCCTTTGATAAGTATTTCTCGCGAGTCCGCTCAGTGCCAGATGCTGTAGCAGGCACACTTTCTCGAGGAGCTTCTAGTCTGACCGCGTGGGCGCTGTCGAGGGCCTGCTGGCTGTCCCCAACCCCGTCCAGCCGGCCGAACTGGGTGGCCGCGGGCGTCCCTGCTGGTCCGATGGATCCGCCGCGTCCTCGGGCTTGGTGGGAGTGTTCTTGTGTGGTCCTTTCAGTGGTTGATCAGCAGTGTCCCCAGGCGTGGTGGCTGCGGCAGGTCCAGGTTCCATGGCCAGGCCCGGGGGTTCTGACTGTGCATCCGTAAGACGCTCTTGGGCCTGAGCCTTTGTCACTGAGCCAGTGAACGCGGAGCGCTGGCTTGGCTGGTGGCTTGTAGAGGGGCGAGTGGAAACCTGTGGAAGGTGCTCGGAGCGATCAGAGGGCTCAGCACACACCATGGTGTGGGAGTGTCCCTCCAGCAGGTCGGATGTTTCTGTGCCTCTGTGGATTTCTGGGAGGACTCGGGTCTTTGGCCCTTAATGGCGAGGCTACCTGCCTAATTAGCCCTGCTTTCTCGACCTCCTGGTCTCTGCTGAGCAGCAGGACTCAGTGGCTGTGTTGTCTCAGTAGCACTGTTCAGGCCTGTCTTGCTAATAAGACCTTTCACTGATTTGCATTTCTCTGTGGACAAATAATCAGACTTTTTGGGACACTGTGACTTTTGATTTTGAGAATGGCCCATGGTTCCTGTTGCAGTTTTCGAGTTCACATGCAGGTATATTGCAGTTCCTGAATTATAGTGTCTGAGCCTTTAAAGAAAAAAGATCTTCGTTCATAAAAATTAATGTATCCTCAGATACAAAGACTTTCACTTTCTCTAGATCTTTTATTGTGCACTTAAGATAATACCGATTATATGAATATGCCAAGATATGTATTTCTGAAGGCTGCATAGTATAGAACTTTGGTGATATGGTTTTATTTTCTTCTAATTAATCTTTATTTTGATTATGCTCCGGTATTGGTTAAAACTTTTAAGCAAATTTCCTCGTGTGTTGTGTTTGTGTGTGTGTTTATATACAGCATGTCTGTGCTAATAATACATCATATACCTTATAAAATAAAAAGTAAAAATGATTGGGTGTCTTGTGTTCCCGCATGAACTGCTTATGGTTCTGTCCAAGGGCAGCCACTCTTCTTTGCTCTGAATTTCACCCTGAGACGTATTCGGGATGCTCTCTCAGCACTTCCCTCTCCTCCTTGCATCACCATTTCTCCTCTCTTAACTGGATCGTTTAAATATGCTGCTATTTTTCCCATCTTAAAAAAAATCCTTCTTTGACCCCATCCATCTCTTCCAACTACTGCCCCAAAGAGTTTTCAGTCCTTGCTTCCTTCACTTCCCCTCTCTCGTCTCTCCAGTCCGGCCTGTCCGAACCCCTCTGGACAACAGTGCCCTCACCACGGCCAGCGGTGACCTCCGTGCTGCTACACGTAGTGGATCCTCCTTGGTCTTCACCCTGGTACCAGCAGCTCCAGCAGCACTGGCCCAGCTGGTCATACCCTTTTTCTTGGGGCTCTTCCTTCAGTTGGCTTCCAGGGAACGTGTTTCTGGTTTCCCACCTGTCTTAGCGGCCATCCCTTTCCAGCATCTCGGCTCCCTGACTTCTCAGTTTTAGAAGGCCCGGGGCCTCTCCTCTCCCGACTCCTGGCATTATACACCACCTGTATGAATGCTGCCTGGAATTCACTTCAGAGGAATTCTGTGAGCTGAACAAGACTGACCATGAGTTGATAATGGTTGAAGGTGGGTAGTAGGTACCTGCAGATTTATCCTACGATTATCTCTAGTTTTGTCCATGCTGGAAATTTTCCATACTGAAAAAAAAAATCTACCTGCCGATGATCACCCCCCCAATTATTTGTCTCAAGCCCAGCCTCTCTCCTAAAGTACTGTTCTGTGTGTCCGTCTGCCTACTCAATATTCCAACTTGAATGTTAATAGACATTTCATACTTAACACGCCCAACACTGAGCTCCTGATTTTTCCACGTAAATATCTTCTTCCCCCAGTCTCCTGTCTTGGTTTTACTCAACCACAATGCCTGTGGTCTTGCTTCACTTCTCTCTTTCACATCCTTCATCCAGTCTGCTGGTGAATCTCAATCACTCTGCTGGTAACATATATTCAGACATAGCGTATGACTAGTCAGAGCCGCCTCCCCTGCCGTCAGCCTGGTCCAGGCCAGCATCGTCGCTCACCTGCTTCTCCTCTGCCCCGTACAGGCTGTAGTCCTCTCTGTGGTCGGGAGGATCCCACGACGTGTAAGTCACAGCATGCCTGCCGTGCTCAAAACCCTGCCGTGGCTTCTTTTGCATTCGGTGAAACCCACGGTCCCCAGAGTGGCCTGCAAGACTCTGTAGCTTATGAACAGTGTCCAGTAGAAATATAACGAGTTACACAGGAGTGCCACGTTCATAATTTAACACTTTTCTGATAGCTAAATTTAAAAGGAAAAAGGTGGAATTAATTTTGATAATTTAACCCAGTATGTCAACACTGTTTTCATCTCTGATGTCTATCTCGATGTTCTTTTTTGGTGCTACATCACCCCCATGGCACATGCAGTTTGGACCAGCTCCATTTCACGCGCTCGGTGCCCTCACGTGCCTGGCGGCCGCCATGGCACAATTGTAGGCCCGCGTGGTCTTCGCTTCTGTGTCGCTCCCTCCTACCGCTCTTCTCTTCTCTCACTCTCCTCCAGCCGCACCGACCTCCTCGCTGTTCCTCCTGCTCCCTCTGTCTAAAATGCTTCTCCCCCGATAGCCACCCAGCTGGCTCTCCCTTCCTTTGGGTCTGTGCTCCTATCTGCTCTACCTTCCAGTGCCCCGCCTGCTCCCACACCCTTGCTAGTATTTCCTGCATCTCTTCCCTACAGTAGTTTTCCTCCATAGGGCGTGTGTGCATCCTAAGTTGCTTGGGTCATGTCCAACTCTTTGTGACCCCGTGGACTGTAGCCCACCAGGCTCCTCTGTCCATGGGATTCTCCAGGTAAGAATACTGGAGTGGGTGGCCATGCCTTCCTCCAGGGGATCTTCCCGACCCAGGGATTGAAACTGCGTCTCTTACATCTCCTGCCTTGGCAGGCTGGTTCTTTACCACTAGCACCACCGGGGAAGCCCTTTCTCCACAGTACCATTACCATTTAACATACTGTGTACTTCTGTTAGATTTTCTCTCTCTCCCCACTGGAATCTGAGCTCTATGAGGACAGAGATTTTTGTCTGTATCATTTCCTGCCATATTTCAAAGGCATGAAACAGTGCTTGGCACATATAAGAAGTAGATGGATGTTATTGAGGAATTAAATATGTTAAGAATGATTTTTTTTTTAGTAAGAACCATGCAATTGAGTATTATTGTTTCAGAATATCTTGGTGTCATATTTTGCATGACAGTTGAACCAGACCTTCAAACTGTTTGAAGGTTCAAAGGTCTGGTTCAAGTCACAATATTTTGAAAGAGTCCTCTCTATAATGATGTCATTATGGGTTCAACTTATGATGTAACTGGATTCAAGACCCCTGAGACACGTATTTCATTCACTTCATTGAGGGATTTAAAAACAAGTCGGGATATTCTGTTTCATGGATGTGCATAGATCCTTGGTTTCAGAGACAACTTCCTTCCATCGAATTTGGTAACATCATCCTGTAATGGTGGAAGTGATTTCCAAATGCTGGTTTTTGAAATGGTTTTCCCGTGACATAAGTCTCTTTCAAAAAGGAAATGCTTTCTTACCCACTTTTAAGATGTCACTGTATCTTAAAGGGACAGATTAAATATTTGTTTGTTTGAATTAATGATACCCGTTAACCGACGTTCTCCTGACACATTACTGAAGAGGTCAGCAAGTCCTGGAACCTTGTTTTCCACTTTACAAAGACACATCACTTCTGCTCCGGGTGAGCTGCTCTTTCAGGGCCTCTGCCGTGGGATAGTCATGGCAGGGTGGTCCAGTGCCTTGAGGGTGCCGCCCGCTCATTACAGAGGACTACCATTTATTGAATTGAAGAGGATGTCCTTACATTTACTTAACCAGACACAGGTAAACTATACTCAAGTGTGGCTCCGGCGGTGAAGAATCTGCCTGCAGTGCAGGAGACCCAGGTTCGATCCCTGGGTCAGGAAGATCCCCTGGAGAAGGAAATGGCTACCCATTCCTATACTCTTGCCTGGAGAATCCCATGGACAGAGGAGCCTGGCAGGCTACAGTCCATGGGGTCACACAGAGTCAGACACAACTGAAGCGACTTAGCCAACACAAGTGTTGAAGGAGTGGCCTTCGACACCAGGGACGAAGGAGGAAATGTCCTGTTGGGAGGAGGTGGCTGGTATGGTAGGAGAGGGGCCGTGTGCTGGGAGCGGGGCCGTGTACCGGGAGAGGCCTGTGTGCCGGGAGCGGGGCCGTGTGCCGGGAGCGGGGCCGTGTACCGGGAGAGGCCTGTGTGCCGGGAGGCGGGCCATGTGCCGGGAGCGGGGCCGTGTACCGGGAGCAGGGCCGTGTACCAGGAGAGGCCTGTGTGCCGGGAGCGGGGCCGTGTGCCGGGAGGGGGGCCGTGTGCCGGGAGCAGGGCCGTGTACCAGGAGAGGCCTGTGTGCCGGGAGCGGGGCCGTGTGCCGGGAGCGGGGCCCTGTGCCGGGAGAGGCCTGTGTACCGGGAGGGGGGCCGTGTGCCGGGAGCGGGGTCGTGTACCGGGAGAGGCCTGTGTGCCGGGAGCGGGGCCGTGTACCAGGAGAGGCCTGTGTGCCGGGAGGGGGACCGTGTGCCGGGAGAGGCCGTGTGCCGGGAGCGGGGCCGTGTGCCGGGAGGGGGGCCGTGTACCAAGTGGGCCAGCCATGGGGAGACCTGGACCAGCTTTCCAGGAATTTGGTTTTGGTGGTTCTTAACCTCTTTGTATTCCAGTTCTCATTAGGAATTGCCTGGAAACTGTAGTTTCTTTCTCCAGGAGGAAAGAAGAGTCGCGAGAGCACATGATTTGACAGGTGCCGTCAGAGGACTCACAGACCCCGAGCTATAAACTCCTGCCGTAGGCTGGGGAGCCGTGAGTCCTTACTGAGCTCTTTAAAGGGGTAAGACCCCCCGTTTTTTTCCCCTGGAGTCTTTGGGAGTTGACTCAGTTGAGTGTGTATGGTGCAGGCGTTCTGGGTTTTGAAGGCGTTGTTAAGTGACAGGCTTAACAGTGGTCCTCATGAGTCTGAGGAAAAGCAATAGAGAATTGAGGGCCAGGGGGTTCTGTGTACTCTCGTGGAGAGGTTCAGTGTTTCTGTGTTTGCTCCACGGAACAGGGGACAAAAAAATTTACCTGAGAGAAGATAGGGAAAAAATTAACTTTTAGGACTGACTCATTCAGGGACTTCCCTGACGGACCAGTGTGAAGACTCTCTACTTCCAGT